CATCTTCTTCCATCAAACAATTGAGCATTATGTGTGAGTTCTCAGGCAATAACAAATCACTGCAACTAAATTTCATGACATTTGAAGCAACACCCCCTATCAGGAATCATGACAAATCTTCTCATAGTTAGAAACACGTATCCGGTGGTATCTGCTAATCAATTAATTGGTTGTATAAATATTTAAATCCCTTCTTGCATGCAGTCCTGTAATTGTCATAGATCACAGACTTCCAGAACTATTTTAATTCTTGGATTAGGGTAAATTCCACACAGCAACGAGAGAGTGGGGATGAGGGAAAGCTTGGAGGGAGATGCTATGTGGAGATTATTCTATGACAACTAGAAAAGAGGTGAAACTTCTTTTTTTTTTTTTTTTGCAATTGCCTGGGAAATCATTTTTTTAATGGTGCTTAATTATGTCTTTAGATCAACTCAACTGATTATCAAACTTACTTAGAATGTGTTAATGTGCATCTGCGTGTTAAATTTCTCCTGTCAAAAAATATGTTTCTTTTTCTTTTACTGAGTTTTGCATATTAACCATTCATGCAATCAGCTGAACATATTTCTTTACCTATGTAAATGTCACTAAGCTGCATGCCACTAAATGGTGGTGCATTTGTATCCTAATGCACATACAGCAGCAGGCATGTGGATTTTTTTGTTTAAGATGGGGAAGTGTCTGTGTTATTGACTAGAATTCATTCTCTCATTTCTAAGTAGTATGATTAGTAGTTCAAGAATGAGTATTTTATATGTCAACGGAATATGACTTATCTTGAGTTCAAGTCAAGGGGCAGCACATGGTTATAACTCATAATGTAAGTGGAGTGCTTCCTAGTTCCAAATATGTTTATGCCATCCTTCAAAAAATTATTGAAATTAATTGTTAGTAGTTGGGACCATGTTTGTTAAAGCATTTAGGTGCTTAAGATGACATAGTAACTGTACGCAGTACATATGCTTAATATGACACAGTACATATGTAGGAAAGGCCTTTGTTATTAGTTCCATTAGAACTACAATTTCACTTAATGCTTGATTGTCTTCTTATGTCGATGAGTGGAGTAGATCTGGAGTATTAGCATTTTCTGAAGGAAAGAGCATTTCGACATGGTTTGGCACAACTGAAGGTGGAAAAGGAGCTATGTATGAGGGTTTTTCATGCAAACTTTCCCTGCGATTCCCATTGGACTACCCTTTCAAGCCACCTCAAGTCAGGTTTGAAACCATGTGCTTCCATCCAAATGTTGATCAGTTTGGGAACATTTGCCCTGATATTCTTCAGGTATCAAATTAAGCAAGTATATTGGTTTTTAGTTAAACCATTTGCTCTTAACAGCATGAGAATGAGATTGGGAAAAGAAACCTCTACTATTCAAGTGTTTGAACCTATTGCCTTGGTGGATATTGGAATTATAACATATTTTTAATTTTCATAGAATAGATTTACTACGGAACCAAGGGATCATTGGTAGTGGAATTTTTTTATATAAATGTTTATTAATTAAAGTTCTTTTGATATCTTCTGTACTGAAAACTCATCTTAATGTTGTAACAGGATAAATGCTCTTCTGCTTATGACCGCAAAACCATTCTATTGTCCATTCAAAATCTATAAGATCTGGTTTCCCTTCCTTTCATCTTTAATTCATTACACTGGTAAAATATCCCTCTAAATTGACCAAGAACTCTCCTTGCATGCAAAGCTAATCCCAAGAGTACCCTCAACAGCCATGCTGCAAAACAATGGAGCAATAAAGAAGGTTGAAGATTTAATCCTGTCATTTCTTATATCATATTTAATCCTCATTGCTGTTGTTTATTGCGTTTGAAGATTAAGTTTCAGAGTTTAATGTTCCTAGGTTGATAATTGTTTATTGACCTAAACGAGGTATTATGTACTATGTATATGCATTAAACTTTTAGGAATTTGATTATTTGGAAAAGAAACGTTGTATTCATATACCAACTATACAATCTTATTCTTGCGCAGAATTGCAACACAAGACTTTTTATTATATAACTATTGAAATAAGCTTAGCAGTTATGATTCTTTATGCTTATTCTATTATGGTTTCCATTTCCTCTTCACAATTACAACACTAGCTACAAGATTCAAAACCTTTGTTTCGATAGGAATTATCAAATTTTCCTAGGAAGATTTAACTTGTACACACAGGGAATGGGACCTTGAGGACTACTACATGAAAGAATCTGGCAGGAGCACCGCCTAGGCTAGCTATTTCTATCATCATATTTCCTTCAATGTAAACGATGGTCATGGTAAATGCATTTCTGTTTATGCCATGGCTGTGTAATCTGCTACATTAGAGTAGCTTTTATATATTATTCATCTATTTTGACAAACAGTTGGCTAATATATTTTAATTGCTACTGTTATATGTATATTTGTTTAACAAGCAAAACATATTGCTTAGTTATCAAGTGGTTTAAACAAACTATTAATCATATAGAGTCCATGTTTGCTCTTTCTTTTTAATTTATAAAACTAGGTCAGACTCATAAATATTTTTTTTTGTTCTATTTTTTTTTTCAATTGCCGAAGTAAGGGATTTTTCTGATAAATACTTTTATACCCTTAAAAATAAAATAAAATAAAAACAGGAAATCAAATGGAGTGAATGGTGTTTATTATTTAGTGCCATTAGTCGCTCATTCCCTATGCATATTTCTAGCGTATCAACCAACAACTCTATTTCCGGACGATACTCAAAACGTGAGAATGGATGCATCAAAAAACAACTTCAAATCAGCACTTCATGAGCATTGGTCAAATAATGCACAGTTGCACGCGCCAGTGACGGGACCTTGGGGTGGATCCTTTTGCATCCCTCTCTTATGGGCTTATTTGGTTTACCACTTCTTGGTTTACCAACCAAACGGGCCTTTAAATTCGAATAGCTCAGCAGCTTGTACATATCCTCTTATTTTTGGTGCCCATCAACTATTTGTTGAAACTTGAATTGCCCTACAGATTCATTGCCTATTTTCAAAAAAAGAAAAAAGAAAAAAAAAAGAAATACCCAACAGATATTATGAGCCAAATCTGCACATATAATTCCAGTTAATTTTTACTTGAGGTTTTTTAGTCTGTCCCTTAAACACAGGTTAAAAATATTTTTTATTATAAATATAAATATAAATATAAATTAATTTTAATTTTAATAAAAATATAAAGTGAATAAATTTA